CTGGGCTTTAGGGTCAGTCCGGACTCCCTAATCGGTCTATTACGGCTCCTATGTGGGTCAGGTGTTCGGGCCAGGAGCTGCTAAAAATGTCTATACCATTCAAGTAGGTGTGTATCAGTGTGTATCAGGGATCCTTAGGACAGGTGTCAATCCATATCTGCCAAGTGACCCTATGTTGGGGTAACATTCCCTATTCTGATCTGTCAGTGTGTATCAGGGATCCTTAGGACAGGTGTCAATCCATATCTGCCAAGTGACCCGATGTTGGGGTAACATTCCTATTCTGATCTGTGTCAGTGTGTACACGACCACTGATAGGAGACGCGGAAGGTATTAAACTCATAAAAATAGTACTAAACACACCACTCCTATCTGGTGTCACATTAGCTTGACTGCGCAGTGCCCCAAATTTGCAGTAAGAGGACCGACCAAGCCTCTTCTTCCATCTCCCTGTTACAAAAATCAATGTCGTGTACACGTCCACTGATAGGAGACGCGGAAGGTATTAAACTGATCAGAACAATACTAAACACACCACTCCTATCTGGTGGCACATTAGCTTGACCGCGCAGTGCCCCAAATTTGAATTAAAAGGACCGACCAAGCATCTTCTTCCATCTCCCTGTTACAGAAATCACTGCCATATCAATACAAATTGTACAGAATGTCCAGGATAGTTTTCCAGGGACAAATGTTGTAGCCTGTTGAACGAGGTGACCTTGCTCGGGTCCCAGGTGTACGGTTCCTAAAATGGCTGCCATATACACGTCCACTGATAGGAGCGGAAGGTATTAAACTGATCAGAACAATGCACTAAAACACCACTAATAAGGTTTCTCTCCTGTATGGCTCCTCAAATGATGCTTAAGATTAGAAGCGGCTGAAAAACATTTCTCACACTCCGAACAAAAATATTTTTTTTTAACATTCTCTCCACTTTGAACGAAATGACGTTTGGGAAGAGATTAACATAATTAAACACAGGCGGTAAAAATACAGTTTTTAGCCATACCCTGTAACTTTAAAACTACACATCCCATCTTCATAATTACATATTTGGAATCAGCACACTTAAAACATAAACATAACCAAAAATCAGCCAAATCCATCCAGAGGTTAAAAAGTTAGCTGGAGGTCCCTTTATGACCGACCGCAAGCACATTTTCCTGCCAAAACAGTTCCATAGATTTGGGCTGTGAGGTCGGTCTATTTCAGGCTGAAAAAAAGACTAAGTCCCATCGCCGAATGGGACTTAGTCTCTGCAGCTGAAATAATTTCCCATTTACTGAACCAAGTGGGAAATAGCAAGGCAGGCACAAAGGGTTTGCACCAGGTCTGGGGACACAGGGGACACCGTCTTAAAGGGGCCGTGTCCCCAACAAGTCTGGGGACACGGCCTTAAAGGGGCAGTGTCCCAATCTTCCTGATGTCCCAAAAAAGGTGTTTAAAGGGCCAGCACCAGTCACATAAAGAGTCCATAAGCCCCAATATGCCCACCGACAGTCTTAAAGGGCCATACACACCAAATAAAAGTGCATACATTTTCACAATCTCCCAGGGCCATAGTCATGCGGGGGAGGCTGGCAAGTAGGCTTCTCCACAACCCAGGGAAAGGCAATTTGCCATTTAAAGGGCCGTTACAAATAGCAGTTTGTAACAAGGTGTCAATCCATATCTGCCAAGTGACCCGATGTAGGGGTAACAGTCCCTATTCTGCTCTGTGTCAGTGTGTATCAGGGGTCCTTAGGACAGGTGTCAATCCATATCTGCCAAGTGACCCTATGTAGGGGGGACCAGTCTCTATTCTGCTCTGTGTCCGTGTGCATCAGGGGCTCTGAGGACAGGTGTCAATCCATATGTCAAGGTGTCAATATGTCATATGTCAGGTGTCAATCCATATTGATTGTGATTTAGGAATGTTAGGTGATTTCTGCCCTTTATGGATTAAAACCAGACTCTGTATCAACTGTGTAATTTTCCATGGGAGTTTTGCCATGGATCCCCCTCCGGCATGCCACAGTCCAGGTGTTAGTCCCCTTGAAACAACTTTTCCATCCCTATTGTGGCCAGAAAGAGTCCCTGTGTGTTTTAAAATTCGCCTCCCCATTGAAGTCAATGGCGTTTCGGGCGGTTCGCCGGTTCGCGAACACTTGCGGAAGTTCGCCGTTCGCGAACCGAAAATTTCGGGTTCGCGACATCACTACTCTCAGCCAATGAGCTAGCCATGCAAGAAGCAGACTTTCGTCTCTGTCAGATGTAGTGGAGGAGGACTGGTGCCCAGTGGACCCAATGTAATAAGTCTAACCATTTAAAAATAGTTTGACTATTTACAATGGGGGGCACCAGGGTAGTTCAGGCACCATAACAACTTGGTTATGGTGTTTGAACAGTTCCTTTATTCTATAAAAAAATAATTAAAAAAAAATAATTGTAAATACATCCCATTTTGTCCACTTATATTCCCCATTTTGTCTTCATATTTTGTGAATGTAACAAGTGGTAAAATCATCAGTACAAAAGTGCAAAAATCCAAAAGAGGAATAAAATGTGCCAGACAGATGTCAGAAAGAGTGGAGTATCAATTTTATTAAAGAAATTGGTGCAAGTGCACAAAACCACTGTGAACGTGACAGGTAACACTACACTTTTAATAAACAACCACAACATGTGTGAAGACACTAGCACCTGAATAGCACCTATTTTGCCTTGATAAGTAAGATCGTATACCTTCACCAAAAGCCATTTGTGGCTGAAAGGTCTCAGAAATAGAGGGGAAGGGAGAGCCAGAGAGAGAGAAATTTTTTTGCATATTCTACTGCTATTTACTTTTTAAGTATGGTGAATATATATTATCTGTATATAATTTGCATTTAAAGCATGTTTTGGCTAAATGATCATTAAAGATTTTCATCTGCAATTTCTGGAAAAGGTTTACTCTGTGATGTTTATCTTGATAACTTGCTGGTAAGCTTACTAGCCCATCATTATAACACTCCGTATGCTGAAAACAAACAAACAATATTGTTAGAGTTGTAAAATAGACAAGAAAAAAATAGTAAACCATAAAATAAAAATAACATCCATTTAAATGTGTAGACTGGCTGAGAGTCACAGTGTAATAAAAACACCCGTAAGTTCTGTTATACATGTATTTCGATAAAGGAGGAAACTAAATTGATACAATGAAGTTGGACTTCATAGTTATTGCTCATATTAATTACACAGTGATACATTGAAGTGGTTTGCTGCTCATGAGACTGAACCTCACCAGTTCAAAATTCAATTATGTGCTTTGTAAAGCCCAAGTGTTTGCTGCATCACTTCCTTGGAGAGAGTAATGGCAGGCATGAAGGAGGAATGATGTTATTCAGTTGTATGGGGGATAGTATTATTAAATAAATTCTTACATATAAAGAACAGAACGCTGGAAGATAAGAACGTTTATCTAACTTTCACCTACTAGATATTTTTTATTTTTTTTGTGTTTGTTCTTGTGTTGTCAAAAAAAAAATATCCTATACTTAAGATAAGGCTAGGGACTAATTTAAAAGTATTTTGAAAATATTGGCAGACTAGATGGGCCGAATGGTTCTTATCTGCCTTCACATTCTGTGTTTTACTACTAGGCATTCCCCTGGTGTTCAGTGATAGTTTTAAAAATACAGCAATTCCATCCTTGTCTCACAACGACATAGACGTCGTTTAGTTAAACATGTCACATAATGTTTAAAAAATATATATATTCGCAATATACATACCAATCAATTCCAAATCTGGATAATCTGCACATGTAAATTAACTTATGAGTAATTATATCCTACATCCTTTAAATTGAAGCTGGTTTACGTAGGGTTCTCAACACATCTTACTCATGTATCTTCTCACAATTATATATTTAGTTAAACCATCGTACATCAACATGTAATTATAATATTGTGATTATGAAGATCATAAACATAATTCTATCTAATATGAAATTTACCTTTTGCCTGCTCGCAGGTATTCAAAGCCTTCATTGATCTCATCAAGTTTCAGTTTGTGAGTGATCAACCCATCCAGTTCAAACTTGTTTGCCAAAAAATCTTCCACCAGTTTGGGAACTTCATCCTTACTCTTAAAACCTGTAATAATATAAAAAGAATATCAGATACTTTCATATATGTATTATAGAGTTACCTTAACCACCATGACCACTTCAGTGACGTGACTGTGGTGCCTGAAGTCTGTATGTTAAGCATTTTGCCATGAAACACCACCTGCCATATGTAACTCCACCTTTGCACTGTCATTAGAATGGCATTGACTAATGTCGATTCTGAGCAACTTTTGTTGTACAGAAAGTCAGTCATTGCCTGAGCGTGGTCTGCTGATACTCTCAGCTAATGAATGGCATTAATCACAGCTTGCGGCTTCTACAGGTTGAAGTGCGTCACCGGGCCTTCAGCTGCTGTTGAAATTAGTTACACTTGTTAGTCAATTTAAAGGTGATCTGTTGCAGGTCTGCTTCTGAGTATGACTTGGGGATAATTTTTCCTAGCTTAAGTTCTGACAAAGTATGACATTGTGAAAATAGCCTTTAAAAAAAAATAAAAATTATGTATGTTGAAGTCTGTGAGACCTTGGTATGTATTCGAGTGAGCCAATCATATATTCCGCTCTCTCTTCTCGCACCAGAATAGGGGACGTATGGCGGCGAGCACATGGTGCTCCGGAGCCCAACATGGACACCTACCTTGATGATTTCGATGACTCTCTGAGCCTGAAGAGACATGCTTACCCGCAGCACAGGTGGCAGTGCAGCCTAGATCGCAGCCGGACATGGCCCCGGTCACGAAGGCCGAAATGAGGGAGCTGATGGCGGAACTCTGCCGGAATATCCAAGCAGATGTGGCAGACATAAGGAAAGACAACCAGGGCCTAACAAACCGCATGGGTACTGTAGAGCAAGACGCCCGCAACCACTCGAGGTCGGTGGCCATGCTCCAGCAGGAGGTGAAAACACTGCAACAACAGCACCTGAGGGTGGAACAGAAAATGGCGGCACTGGAAGACTCACGCCAGGCCCACAACATAAAGATCAGAGGCATAGCAGAACTTCCTCACCTCATGAAGCAGGCTAAGGGAGTAGATTTGGAAGGCATGTTCAGAATCCCAAAACCACCGACGGCTCCATCAACGGCACCCAGGGACTTAATTGTCAAATTTCAAAAACGACACGACAAAGTAGCAGTTATGACTGCCGTCAGGGGACATGCACCATACCCCTTTGAGGACATGGCCCTATCGTTTTACACAAATCTATCCAGAGGGACTATGGCATGGCACTCAACCCTGAGGCCTGTCACCACCCTACTCCGCGCTCATAATATTCAATACCAATGACGCTCACCCCACAAGCTCCAGGTACTTCAAGGAGAAAACACATGCCTCATAGCGGACCTGCAGGAGGCGAAGACACACCTCGTTACCTTGGGCCTTCCACCAGACTCTCTGCAGCCTCTGAGCAGGCTCTCCCGACCACATGAGTGGAACCCAGCTAATTCCAAGACTTTCGTTCCAAGAGGCTCAACCCACGCGGCACAGACAGTAGCCGCTACCTGAACGCCCCTCACTGGCTGATGCATCAACCTCTCATAATTTCGCCCTATTGCTGTATGAAGTTTGTATGTACGGTTTGAATATATGTTTATGTTCAATCAGATTGCACAATCTCCGCAAAGGCACTCACACACTTTTGGGTCACATGGTGGCCGCTGGATAATGTCCAACCAGGACCATTACCTGAACATACCTTATGTGACCCAGCAACTGCACAGTTTCTTTGGCAAAGTATATTTTCTTTTCTGTTTTATTTTGGCTCTTCAGTATACATACCACGAGAGCTGATATACCCATCGTTAACCATCGATTATTCCATTGTATTATATTTTAGTCAATCTTATTCTGACAATATTACTATTAGGTTAAGCTTGTTAAAAATATAAAAAAATGTGCGACCCTTCACCATGTCTTACAAACGTATCATCTTGACCAATGTGAACCTTGTAAATGCTGTTGGGGCATTGAAAAACTGTATGTATCTTTCATGCACAGAAAAAAATTAAAGAATTAAAAAAAAAAAAAAGTCATTCACCAGCCCTTGGGGTGGAGAAAGCGGAATCATCAGTCTCTGGGCCTCTCCTGATATTATTGGGAACTCCACTTTTTATAATTTTTAGATTAATAGTTAATTGCCACATTTGGGTCATATTTGTTGGACACATTAGGCTTCTTTCTCAGGTCACACCCCTTGGTGGTGGCTGATGATGCTGTCCAATATCATTATGGCTTTCCCTATATATACTTCCCATGGCGCCCTCCATGAGTGAACATAAAAAAATAAAAATTTTATGCAGAATAAATTTAATGAATAAATTCGGTATATTTTATTTTTATAGTGGCAACGGTAATTAAAGGGACACTATAGTCACCAGAACAACTACAGCTTATTGAAATTGTTCTGGTGTGTAGAATAATTACTTTCAGGCTTTTTGCTGTAAACACTGTCTTTTCAGAGAAAAGGCAGTGTTTTCATTACAGCCTAGTGATAACTTCACTGGCCACTCCTCAGTTGGCTGTTAGAGATCCTTCCTGGGTCATGGCTGCCTAAAATGCATCCAAACATTCAGTGTCTCCTCCCTCTGCATGCAGACACTGAACTTTCCTCATAGAGATTCATTGATTCAATACATCTCTATGAGGAGATGCTGATTGGCCAGGGCTGTGTTTAAATCATTCTGGCTCTGCCCCTGATCTGCCTCTTTGTCAGTCGAAGCCAATCCTATGGGGAAGCACTGTGATTGGATCAGGCTACCACTTCTGATGATGTCAGCAGACTGTTTTTTATTTATTTATTTTTTTAGGCAAACAGCATGCAGAGTTACAGCTTCTGGCTTGAATACAGTAAGATTTTGCTATATTTAGGGAGGCATGAGGGCCCCAGGGGGGCTAGATGGTGGGTTTAACACTATAGGAGGAAAAATGAAGGAAAAAAATGTCTTACGATAAGTATATAAAAATTTTTTTAACCTTCCACCTTCCTTATTGTCATTAATACCCCCCAAGCGAAGGCCATGGGTGGACAGTAGCTTATCCACCCCCTTTTTGTTGTAAGCAGGGTGGACAACAGAATGTTAACCCCCCTTAATAAATTTAACACAGCCCTCACCAACTGTCCATGATAGGGCTGGGGATCTACATCTGTCTATATTATTTAATAGAGCCCTCACCCAATGCATATGGGTGAGGACTAAGGAGGCACTATGTTGCCTTCATTTAAAATATATATATATAAAGCCCCCATCCACTGCTCATGTGAAGGGGTTGTGTGGGGCACTAGGATGACCTACACATTAGGATTTTTTTGTTTTTTAGTAGGGCACCCACCCGCTGCTCATGGATCTAGAGGGGACTGTGCTAGGTGCTCCCTGTATTTTATTAGTGAATGCACAGCAATAGTGATTCAGTCACTAGTTTGTATATTACAGTAAGCGGTCACTAGCCGCTAACTATTTAGTAGACATACCCTCACCTACAGCATGGCTGCATTAAACCTCCCTTATAGTAATGTGGGGATCATATTGACCACCATAGGCTTTTTTTGTTTTTTCACTTTTTGCCCTCTGGTTGTTAGTGTTACAACTAAATCTAGACTTCCAATAGAACCAAAGTAATATTATTTCACTTGATCCAAAGAGACGTTGTCATTTGCTCCTTTCCTATTCCAAGTTAATTTTGTTCTCTAACATTCCTATAAGGATTTGTAGTATAAAACTCCTCTAACATCATAATTACTTATACACAAATGAGCAGAATGAGAGTGAAACAATACTATACATTTGCAGTGTTATTTCTTAACCATTACCTCCAAACACAGCTCCTTTCATTGTGCGGCCTGTAAGAAGCAACATTGGGTCTACCGAAAGCATATCTGATGAAGGAGCCAAACCAACAATAACTGAAGTTCCAGATCCAAAGAAAGCACTTTTAAGAGCAGAAGCCTAAGAAAAGATAGAAAAAAACATAAAATAAATGTTTTTCAGGAGGGAAAAATATGAGATATCAAAATGTCAAGATGAAAAATGAGGGAGAAATTAATTTTATTTTTCCTCCTTTGAAAAGTACCTTTATGGATAGGTTTCCCATTGATTGATTGTAGTGAAAAATATGTATGTGCATCTTATTATAATGTACCTACATTTCCATGCATAGTAAGTATCCCCATATGTACAATCTTAAAATGGCTAGATGTTTTATAAGATAATATTCAAGATAAAGTTTAAATTTAGATGTAAACACGTAAAGGCTGTTTGAAAGGTGAAACATATGGATTGTGGTGTGGCATGCATTGCTAATCACTTGGGGAGAAATGCAATTGTGGGTGGTAAGGAATATGGCTGTCTTAGATGTTAGAAGGCTGTCTGACAATATTCAGAATGGTGGCTGACAGACAAGAGGATGACGACAACGGGTGACTTGGAGATCTGGGGTACCCATTGAAGTAGGAACACAGGAAGATATTGATGTGTGCGAAACATAGGTGATTGATAAACTTTAGGATGTGTAATACATGGTGTAGAAAATAAAACATTAGTGTGAGAAACTAGTTTATACAAGACACAATGCTGTATTGTTATAGCGGTGTGCAACACTGGGAGTGAGACAGATAAAAGAGTGTATAGTAGACACAAAGATTCTAACACTTAGAGAGATAAGAGAGTTGTGAAACAAAGGACTCTGGGGTCCTCTGTAATGTATGTTATGTGACAGTATCCTAAAACACATTACAGAGGCCTCCTCAAAAATGATTTTGATCCTGCATACTATTGACCATTTTCCCCTAATTTGAGCTCCAAAGTCTGATCTGAGTGACTGTGGGAACTTCACTGGAGACAGGTAAGCAGAATAGGTTGCAAGACCTAGAAGCAAAAAACTGAAAAGCCACCGCAACGACTCTGCATAGGTGACCTCCTGCAGCAATCATATGGAGTAGTTGGACCCAAGATGGCCAGCTATCCGGAGGCATACTCTGAAGTCTCAGATGACTTTTCTAATGAGTAGGAGGCTGTGCACTTACCTAGCAGGCCTAATCCAGCTCTGGCCCTCCCAGGCACGGCCAACTCACCTATCACAACCAAAGTCCTGAAGACCTTACTGGCAGACCTACAGAGAACGAACCAGTGTGATGTAGCAGTACTCCACTCTGACTTACAGGGTCTGACTGGATGGCTGGTGGCTTTAGAGTCTGCCTCCAGGGACTCTGTAAGCCAGCTTGCTACCCAGCAACAAAGTCTTCAACTTGCTACCCTGTCTAAAGTATTCAACTCCAAAATGAAGCTTATGATCGCCTCTTTGCAGCATTGTTGGACGTACGGCGCAAAAACAGCTTGAAGATCAGGGGTATTCCGGGACACCACCACCTGAACTTCTTACTGTTATTAGCAGCAGTCTTCTATTGTTAGTTACATTTTGTTTTTCATTATGTTCCACCATTTATTTCATTTGCAATAAGTTAAACCAATTTTAGTTCTCTTACCCAACAGATTGACTGGTCTCTGGAGCAAACTAACATGCCCCCTCCTCATCCACCCCCCTGTCTGCTAAAAGTTTAGAGGAATCAACACTCTTTGTAGTAAGGAAGCCAGGCATAATCTTTGTACATCACCAGATACATCCCATACCCAATAGTTCCTGAAACAACAATGTTATGCCAAGCCTGTAGATATAGGCCAGGTTTGTAAAGATCGTAGTTTAGCTTAATTAGCTACTTAGCGAGAGAGGTATCATATTTGGTTTACCGTTATCATATCTTTATGTTAAAAATAAAAAAAAATTAATTTCTTGTGCGAAATGCATAATAGCGGTCTGTATTTCACATTGGAAAGGCTCATAGATTATGCATCTTTTATTTTTGTCCTTATAACATGATAGGTACTTGTGGACTAAAAATAATAAAAAAAAATACATATTTTGAGCCTATGTTTCCTTTTGTGGTAATAAGGGTCATGCGCATGTTCAATTTTTCAAGTGGAAGGAGAATATCATCCATGGTGACCTAACGGCAAGGGAACCAAGATCTATGTCTGTGTCAGCACAGATCTCAGCGGTTGCTCCCATGAAATGTGTCCTGTGTAAGGCAGAAGGCAACAAGCAATATTATTATATAGTCTGCAGCCAGAGACCACAGAGGTACACTAATAGGATTGCAGTTGGGAACACAAGATGGGGAAATGTTTCAGGACTCCTATTGTTAAGGAAAAGATGGAGTTTCCTAGAAAATATTGGTCTTCACAATAAGCAGATTCTCAAACCGTTCTCTGTTCAACCAAGTACAAACTTTCCTATTCAAATTGATTTGAACTTATATAATATTTTTTTAGCCTCTTTATAATTTTGCCTCTTCCGCATTAACCTTATGGCAAGTCTTTCTAGATTCCACAAATTGGACTTCTAAATAGGTCATATTTCTAAAATAATAAATAAAATAAATAAAAAAGTAATTAAACTGCAGACATATTAGTAACTTTGGGTATTTATCCTGCATAGTTATTTATAATTTTAATGTTATTTCCTTATTTTAAACTGGAGTTTGCAACTTATTCTGGTATAAACTAATGTACAATTTTTTAAAAAAAATTTCAAAATGTTTATACAATACCAATCATAATAGTTTACTGAGTTGTATATTGTAACTTACCATTACTGAAGTATTTCCAATGACCTCAAAGACAAAGTCTACTCCACCATTAGACATATCTGCTAGAACCTCATCAATTGGTTTCTTGTGGTCCTTTGGGTTGACAAAGTGGGTGGCTCCAAGTTCTTTTGCTTTTGCAAACTTGTCACTGTTTATGTCCACTGCTATAATTTTGGCTGCTCCAGCTACTTTACATCCAATGACCACTGAAAGACCAACACCTCCCAAGCCAAACACAGCACAGGTAGAACCAGGTTCAACCTATGGAAAGCGAAACGGATACATGCAAATCTTGTAATCAATCAAGAAATACATGTTAAAAGAAAGCAGACATCCTGAAATGACCCAGATTGTATTTCAGTCATTATTTCAAATTAGGAATACTTTAAGACTGGAATATTCCCACATTTACATTCTTCAGAATTAACAATATACAGTAATAAAATGTATAAAAAAATTAAATTTAAAATTTTAAAAAATTGCCCAATAGATGACACTGTAAGTCATCACAACCTTAATATTTAGTTGCATGGTGTGCATAGTCCAACAGGTTAGGTTCAAAGTTTAAATAAATGGGGCAATCAAATTCTAGGCGTGTATCCTAGCTTCCCCCATCTAGAAACTTCACCAGCCACCACTGAGAGAATATATTCATGGAAAAGATTCTGGTGCTTGCTTACAAGTCCCTACATAATGCTGCTCAAACCTACCTATCTTCCCTAACACACAAGTATGTCCCGTTGAGGCCCCTGTGCTCTGCCGAAGACCAACGTCTATCCTCTGTCCATACTCCCACATCTGATGTTCACCTCCAAGACTTCTCCAGGGCTGCACCTTTTCTGTGGAACTCCCTTCCCTTCCCTTCCCTAGACTTTCACCCAGTCTCCACACCTTCAAAAATTCTTTGAAAACACACTTCTTCAGGATGTTCATATCATTGAAACTGTTAGCGGATTTTCATCCCCTCCCCCTTCTCAGTGATTACTTTTCTAGCAACCTACTCACCTCTACTTATACCTTTTGTGTCACTATCCCCCACTCCCTCTAGCATGAGATATTTTTTTTTCCAATTCAGCTATTTTGGCATTAAACTTAAAATTATTTTTCAAGAGGGTTTAGTTGGGGGCCTGCCCTGCCCACATACTTTAAGTTACTATAATTATACCACCTAACATTCCCCTAACAAGTGATGATGCCTTTACCCACAGTGTGAACACCCATGGTAGAGCAGCACGGGTTTCCCCGACTCTGAATCCATGCCACACTGTAAGGGTATATCCCAGTCCTATAGAATGCCACCGCTTGTAGGTCCTTATCTTGTTCTCATTCTGATATTTAATGTTTTCTGATTACTCTGAATCTGCTAAAACTTCTGTTTTGTATAAACATTTCTTGCCACTTATATAATGTATCACTAATGCCTCAAAAAAAAAAAGTGACAATTCCTTACTGTAAAATTGACACAAATATGATTACTAAAATAAATGTGTTCACTAGAATGACAATTATCAAAAATGCATTTTATTTATATATATATATATATATATATAAATATACACACATTGTTAAGTTTAAAATAATAAAATAATCACTGAATTTTCCAAATATAGTTGTAAAATAGGTCAATTCTCATTTTCTTTATAACTTTCTATTTCTTTTTTTACATTTTTTCTTTCATTTAAAAATTTGCCAATGTATTACCTACCTTAGCCACTCTCACAGCAGAACCATAACCGGTTGTAAATCCACAGCCTATTAAGCAAGCTTTATCCAAAGGAGCCCTATCATCAATCTTAGCCACAGCTATTTCATCCAATACAGTGTATTCAGTGAATGTGCTGGTGGATATGAAGTTATAAATGATCTTTCCCTTGCAAGTAAATCTGTTGGTGTTGTCCAACATCGTTCCTTTGTATTTTCCAATACTGTTGAGAAAAAAAATAATGTTTTCAGAAAATTACGATTGGCATTCAATTTCCACTATGTTTTTGTAATAATAGTTACTCAAAGCTAGTGCCTCTAAAGTACACCTAAGTACACATTATAATTTTACATGATTGTTATTAGCACATTAAGTGCAATGCATAACTGTATTTTTTTCAATAGAGGGGAATATAAGTTCTCCCTGACCTATATTCCAAGGTTATTAAATAAATACTGGTGATGCTCTTGGTAGTAATTTGGATTTTTGTGAAATGGTTAGGAGAAACAAAGCTAAGTAGCATGGCACAGGTTCATGCATATTTATAAGATTTATGCATTTTAGTTCTAATTAATTGTGTTAATTGCCCTATTAGAGATGCCTTGAATTTGGATTTTTAGTTATAAAGATAATATCGATGATATAATAAAAATACTATAAAATAAGAACATTAATATCACATAAAGGATTATTTACTAAAGTGAATTTCAAAAGTACGTTCAAAATAGCTGAACTGGAGACATCAGTCACCTAAGATTTCAGTTGGGTTATCTCACCTTAAAGGCAATTAAGTTGTTATGGTGCCAGAAGGCACCTGGGAACACTCTTCCATAAATGGATTAAACCATTCTTGAACAGTTTAACCCCTAAGTGAGCCCCCAGCGACGATCCTCAGGTTATTTATTTATTTTACATTTTTATGTAAAAGACGATCTATTATTTCTATAGGGACAATTGTGGTGAATTATGATTTGTTCAGAACTTCATTACTGACCTGAAACATTTTGATTTATCTTTAGGGTAATTTAAGTCATTTGATCCCTTAATTACCAACTAAGATTAGTTTAGCAGGGCTTCAATTAGACAATCAGTCTTAATCAATAATTTGTTTTGCTAAATTTGGTTTATAGTAAATGTAATCATTGCATTTTAATTTTAATTGCCAATGTGTTCAAAATGAGCAACACATCCAGTCTTAATTAAACCTTTATATTTGTAAAAGTTTCAATAAATTCACTAACTCATTTTTATAACATAGGTTGGTCTTCGGATCTTTACAACATCTGCATTCTCCACATTGTGGAACAAAGAGCGGAATGACTTTGTCTCCTGTGAGAACAAAACAGAGAGAGAAAAATTAACAACCGTAAATAAAAAAAAAAAAAGGAAACTTTAACAAAACCATCATTTTCTTTTCCTGGTTGTAATTCATGGCAGCAGTTACTAGAAGGTCATCTTCTCCCACTCCACTGAGAACTTTTTACATATAAAAGACTGTATAAAACTTGCTGCCATGGACTATGACCAGGAAAAACAAATCAAGTATTGATAAATTTTCCATTTTCCTGATCTATGTATTCCAACATTTACTAACGATATATTCCTTAGTATGATGGTGTGGAAAGTAAAGAAGAAATAATTACCAGACTGCAAGTACCGTATATACTCGTGCATAAGTTGATCTCATGTATAAGTAGAGTGCAGTTTTGTGACCAACAATTGTGAAATATGCTATGACTCGTGGATAAGTCGAGGGTAAAACTTTGGGCTATGAAATTCTGTCAGATCAAACATGTCGGCTAAAAACTGTATTAAAAAAAAATCGGCAATTATGAACATGAACATTTTAATTTATTAACTGTAACGAATTCCTTAAACTTATTACAGGGAATTTTTATTTATGCCCTCCAAAATAGCACAAACATTGTTTGGCCTATTCAAATACTTCAAACTCTGACTCGTCATCATCAGAATGTCCGAATAAATCACAACATTGTTCTTCGGTGATGCCATCAGCGTAAACGTCGTCTTCGCTGTCTTCATCTGTTGAATCGGTATATGAAGCCGATTAATCTTTCTCTTCATAGATGGCGTCGTCCTCTGATCAATCCATAGCATTACTAATTCCGCATTTCAGGAATGACTTCTTGATCATTTCTGGTGATATTGAATCCCAAGCATCCTTTACCCATTTCGTTATCAAATCAATGTCTGGTTTCATCAAGTTTCCTCCTTTCGTTAACTTTGCTTGACCAGAACACATCCATTGTTGCCACATATTGCGCAATCGGTCCTTGAAAGGCTTGTTGAGACAGACATCCAATGGCTGGAGCATTGATGTTAGGCCGCCTAGAATCACTGCTACCGTGGTTGCCATTTTCTTTGCTTCGTCCTTCACATCCTCTGTTATATGCGCACGGGACATATCCCACACCAATAACGACGGACATTTTATTAGCGCCGCGCCTTGTCGCCTGCCCCACACATTGCGCAGCCACAACTTTGTACCCTCCTCATCCATCCAGCCTTTAGAGTGAACACGAACAGTTACTCCTGCCGGAATTTTTAAGTTCTTTGGCATTGTTTTCCTCTTGAATATTATTACCGGGCGCAGTTTAGTGCCATCTGCCAGGCAAGACAGTACAACAGTGAAATGTGACTTTTCATGACCCGGTTGTTTTATAAGTACAGTTTTTTTTCTCCAACACTTGCTACAGTTTGATTGCCAGGCAAATCAAATGTTATTGGAGTTTCGTCAATATTCCCAATGTTATTCAGAGCAAAACCATTCTTTTTTTTTCTGTTTGATAATGAATTTGTGGAATGACATGACCTCTCTTGCAGCTACGCTATTATTGGCTTCCTTTGCATGTTCAATAACTTTCAATTTAAGCGTAGCAGTGTAAGAAGCTCTCGTTTTCTTTGCAAAACTTATTTTTCTGAAGATAAGAATTTACTGAAAATATTATTCTGTTATTATTAATGTAATCTTAATAATCATTTGACAACAAACAAGAGTAAATAGTCAATCAAGTTCCCTTATATGATGTACCGTTATGTTTCTTTCTCCCCATCACTGCTCCTATGTGTCCATTTCTTCCCAGTCTCTATCTCCCCCCTCTGTCTATTTTTCCCTCCCCCGTGTCTATCTCTTTCCCCTGTTTCATTATCCCCTATCCCCTGTGTGTCTCTCTTCCCCTCCATTTTGTGTGTCTCTCTTCCCCCTCTGTCTCTTTCTCCCCCCTCCTTGTGTATCTCTATTCCCTTTCTCCTGAGGCTGACCTTGCACATGAGAGACTGGAAATATAACACAAATGTCTCTCTATCATGCTCCCTCATGGTACCCACAATTCCCAGCATGGACACATCACGGAGTAAACACTACTCTATAATGTGGCTACGCTGGGCATCGTGGGAGCCGCGAGGGAGCATCATACTTTTGTTTGCTCCCTCCTTCAGTTCGTGCTTTCTGACAGCTGCACTGCTAGAGTGAACCATGCTGCCCTGACAGTGTTTAAGCCCGTAGTGTGCAGGGCAGCATAGTATGCCTTAACAACGTCAAGGGACCCTACACTACAAGGCCAGGAATACATTTGTGTTCCTCACCCTATACTGTTCCTTTAATATATACACACACATGCACTCACTGGCTCATACACACACTGACACATACACAAATACACTCATTGACTCTTGACACACACTCACTGACAGAAAACCTGACAGAAACACACACATTCACTGACAGAAACACACACTGACAGAAACACACACACACACACACTCACTGACAGAAACACACACACACTCACTGACAGAAACACACACTGACAGAAACACACACACTCACTGACAGAAACACATACACACACTGACAGAAACACACACTCACTGACAGAAACACATAGACACACTGACAGAAACACACACTGACAGTGTTTATAATCTAGTGAGTTTGTGTCAGTGTGTATGTTTGTCAGTGAGTGTGTGTGTGTGTTTCTTTGTCAGCGAGTGTTTCTTTGTCAGTTAATGTGAGTGTTTCTGTCAGTGAGTGTTTCTCATCGGCGGGAGAGTGATTTTATGTGCTCCCGCCAGTCCCACGGACATCAATGTCCCGTCCCCCTGCCTCCCTCTCGCTACCCTGATTATGGCCCCCCCCGCCCTCCTTCAGTTCGTGCTTTCTGACAGCTGCAGAGTCAGAAAGCATGAAAGTGAGTATGCCGCCGGACCAGCTAGGCGGCCGCCCAGTCCAGCGGCACCACTATGATGCAGCCATCCCCCTCACACCCGTGTATAAGTCGAGCCTGCAATATAACATTAAGTTTGCAGATAAAATTTCTTGACTTTTATATACGGTACTGCTAAATTAGAAAATGTGTTTTATTATGATTAAATTAATTAGCTTAGGCCAGTCCAGCCAAGCTAATTCCTTGGAGGAAATTTCCAGTTTTTGCAGAAGTAAATACTATATGGGGTACTCATAATGGGTTAGTATGTTTGTTATTATGAGACTCCAAACCACTTGACTTCTAAAACTAATTAACTTAAGTTCTAATACATGTTTCATATAATTAGGATCTCCAACTGTTATCCTCTTGTCTTTTAAAGGTCCTATTTATTACCCAATCTGTGTAGCCCCTATCTCTTGATATTTTCTTCATATACTGTTATAGTGCCCAAAATTGATAGTGAGATGAACAGATACACATCATTCACAAGAACTGACCCACATATGTACCTTTCTTCAAGGGAAACGAGGGTTCCCAAAGGTATCAAATTATGTTTTTACATCTGATGTTTTTTGATAAATAGTAGTATCACATTTAAGGCAAATGTTGGATGAGACTTCAAATAAATTTAATTACTATTATTAAATTCATTATTATATGTGAATGTTAAGTTCACATAATTGTCACCTACATATCCAGAAAATGTATCCAAATCTGTGTTAGAACCTGTACATAGGAATAGCAAGTCAAAAATAAGTGTTTAAAAATTCAATACATACCCAGAATGCGTTCCACTCCCTAGGACAATGTTGCACATATATAAAAATGGCAACAAATGTTTATCCCATGTTTCTCCAATGCTTATGTCAGTGTTAGTTTACTATTGAACATTTGATTGAATTCTACAGGTGCAATTAAAATAAAGTCTAACACTAAACAACTTTAGTGGACTTCTCTTTAACTTGATATAGGTTTGTCGATCACTTAAATGGCGCATAGCCTCTTTATTATAGCCCACTGAATTAAGGACCACCACTGTACCTCCTCTATTGGACTTTTTGAAGACAATACTGGAATTCTTTACTAGATTTCTAAGGACTTTTGTCTGACCTACACTCAGGTTACGTTTTGATGTATAACCCCTCCTACTTCTCACTAGTCTGGCTAGCTAAGTAAAATAGAACATTTCTCTACCACTCTCTAAAATATGTCACAACATATGCCAGGGACTAATGAAAGTATTTAGAAAATTGGGCAGTCTAGATGGGCCGAATGGTTCTTATGTGCCGTCACATTATTATTATTATTATTTTTAACGCGCCAACAAGTTCCGTAGTATTGTACAATGGGTGGACTAACAGGCCTGTATTTGTAACCAGACAAGTTTGACGCACAGGAACAGAGGGGCTGAGGGCCCTGCTCGATGAGCTTACATGCTAGAGGGAGTAGGGTAATGTGACACAAAAGGTAAGGTATGTTTCTATGTCCTTAACACAAATTTAACATAAAGCCAGCATACTTGTAAAATATCATCTCTCACTGTAGATTATAATATTCCAATGTCATCTAACAATGATAACACTTGCTGACGACAATGGAGCGTCATATGAGGAATCATACAGGCTTCAAAAACTGAAGCATAAAGTTTATGTTTGTCTTTCTATGCTGGGACATATTTGAAATAAATCATTTACCCAGCTATAGTTTATCTGATGATCCATATTTGCAGAAAGCAGTCATGTTCATTGGACAGTTATCAAGGCCACTAAAAGGTGAACGTTTTGAAAGGCATGGGATTGAGTCCAAGTAAGATTGAGCACCATACTGTCCTTGATACAAAAAATATTCTCCACTTTACTGGCACTGAGCCTGTGCCATATTCTGTACCAGATCTATATTTCAACCGTCAAACTAAAATATAATATCCTGATGGACAAAGAGTATTTTGAGTTGTTAGGTTGTTAATGAATGCACTTTTATACTTTATAAAGTAAGTGATAGATATATTAGTACATACACATTTTTAAAGATCTGTGGTTGTATTACATTACATTCTCCTTTCATGTGTTTTCATTTGTATATATTTAGTTATTTACATAGACTTTCTTTTCTCCATTTAGGATATTGATTTTTTTTTTTTAAGCTTTAAATATTTTCCCTTCAACTTATTTGTTTCCACTTAAAAAGCCTATATCTTAGTGAAAAAAGTAATGATATAAAAAACATGTGTGTATGTATATATATGTGTGTGTGTGTGTGTATATGTATATATATATGTGTGTGTGTGTGTGTGTATATATATATGTGTGTGTGTGTGTGTGTGTGTGTGTGTGTATATATATATATATATATATATATATATATATATATATATATATATATATATATATACAAAAAATAGATAGCTTGGCACTCACCCTATCTCCAATTCAGTATGTGTCTCTCAATGCCTTGGTGCAATCCCACGTTATGGAGTATACAGACAGGAATAAGAGATGCACTCTCAGGACTCTCATCTGATGTGTGTGTGTGTGTGTGTGTGTATATATATATATATATATATACATATACACATATATATATATATATATATATATATATATGTGTGTGTGTGTGTGTGTGTATATATTGTGATAAGGTGAATGGGGTGGTCTGTGAGGGAGTCTATATCTCGACAGAATTGTTCAGAGAGGCATATGATTTTTAACCCCAGGGGGAGTTTATGTTTCTGTGTATGTAACCAGAATTAATATTTAGTTATGGGCCCCTGGGGTGGAGCATTTGGAGAGCAGGGTGGGCCAGTGCTCCACTCCGCAGTTTAGCGGTTTTCTTGGAAGACATAGATCCAGCCCAGGGTTTTGGACTGTCTCCAACCTACTGCTCAGCTGCAGGTAATCGGCTGCAGCAGTGGGAATAAATCCCTCCCTGCTAGGCAGGTAGGAAGAGAATGTTTTGTTTCTCTCTGAAAGGCTGGAAGCAGCAGGCTGGCTAAATACTGGAGTGCTGAGAGTGGACAAAGACTCTAGGTTGGTGAAACCACATTGTTTTGTTTAGTTTAACCCTGAGAGATAGGGAACCTAATGTCAGTTAGTGCTCAGACGAGCTAGGTTTTTGTTTATAAGGTTTTGTGTTACATTTATGTTTTTCATTTACTGCTGTATCCTGTGTGGATTTAAAAATAAAGTGCCTGGAGTATATGCAATTACAAGGACTGTGCATGTTTTTGCCCTAGAGGACCGTGCTACCTGCCGACAAGGATCACAATATATATATCAGAAATAAAATTCTTCAGGTTTCCTTAAAAGTTTTTTACTTTTTCTCACCATGGTTCTCAAGCCTTCACATTTTGGGTGACTGTATCTTGAATTTGTGAAATAAATGTTTCCATGTTGTGTATGTGCCAAATTTTATTAAGGAGCAGTTGCATGGATTGAGGGGTGTATCTCCAGTTTTGTGCAAAACATCAATGCACCGATGTGCAGATTCAAGGATATTCTAAGCAGTTGACAAATATTGCCTATACCATTCAGTATGGCCATGGCTAAAAACTGATCTTGAAAAGGTGTTCCTATTGGAGAATGGACATAAATAATGATTTCTTCCAAAATGGGTGAATTATTTGTGTACATCCACCAAACGTTGAAATATGTGCTATTTTGCTCACATCCCCTCATACATAGTAGGGAGGTTGTGTGACTGATATGATTCAACTACACCAGGTCCAAGCATCTTTCAGCTATCATGTTAAAAACATTTCATTTTATGAGTGTACCAGCAGTTATTCTAAAGAAACAAAAATCTAATATTTACCTTTTATTTTGGATTGCTGCATAGAGTAGAGAATTGATACGAGGCCTCTTGCATTTGAATGATGCCAAAGAGCCTTGAATGCTTTTTTTTTGTTTTGTTTTGTTTTTTATTAGAAAATTTATGTCTTCATAAATTCTTCTAAGAAATGTTAATTTCTCAGTAGGTATAAACTCTTGAATCAGGAAGGTTGTATGTTTGTTTCAGGAATGACAATGTCAGTATAGAGTTTGGAATCAGGACTAGACACCTGATTTGTGGAACAAAACCCATGAATTCTTTTTTGATTTATTTTTCAGTGGAGCACTGTCTCAACACTGTTTGAGTTTCTCAACCAAGTTACAATAGCAGTTATACTCCTGATGAACCATAGAAAGAGAGTGAATGTCAGACTTGGTTCCCTGCCAGAACACTTTGTTTTAAACAGAGTGTAGTTAGAGGTTCCAAGGGTAACATTGTTAGATGTGATGATGTATCAAGCTTTCATTGAAAGTATTTTGTCCAACTATGCACCATTGTTTCAAACATTATCCATTAATTACTATAATGTGTGTAATATGAGGAGTTTAACTGGCTGATTGTATGATCTATATGTAGTAACCATTACTGTAAAGAAAACACTTTCTACTATCTTTTTAGTAATTAGAATAGTAGTTTGGGCTTTTCTTTGAGCTCAAATTGAGGAAATGCTATTTTCACCAGAGATAAATAATCACTATGCTCATTAAATGGGAAGAATTTAGCATTGAACATTAAAAACCAAGACTCAAATTAATTTTGTGCTGCTGTTGTCGTGAACAGTTCTACAACACAACATTTTATCTTGGGAACAAGTATATTTGCATATGTAATAATGTAAAACATAGCTCACAACATTGTGAGGTATGAAACCATGAGAAGGGATGGTCAGGCCTATGAGGACGTGTCAGTGAAACTATTTGAGTGAAAGGGACGGTCCTCTACTAAAGCAGGTAGAGTTACCCCAAAAATAGGTGTGATAGTCAGTCAAGTGTGAATGCACACTAGGCTGACTGCCAGCCTCACTGGTCAATCCCACTCAGAGTAGAACATACACAGAGCGATGCAGAACACCAGGGAGCCAACGTTAGACAGGGCATGGGAGTCTGACATTGGGACAGTACTACTAGATCAAGGACTCTTGGTAGGTATACACTAATATGCCATTTGTTTTTTTGAATTCATAGCATGTACTAACTTTAGAATTAATCAGTCGTGATAAATAGTAAAAAAAAGACAAACCGTGAATATTATTTGCACAAAACAACAATTTAAAAAAGGATACTTTACCGTGCTTCAAAGCATGATCAACTAAAGTGGTAAATTAGTTCTAAGGTGAATATATTTCCTTAGGAAATTAACTAGCTAATTGCTATCTAGTTATTAATGCTAAACAAAAAATTTATTTAAATTATTTTTTTTACATAATCTTGGTAAACACCTCCCACAGTGGAGGCACAAAATGAGTAAGACTAGCATTTTGTCTAGAGAATTTTCTTACCTGGTTTTAAATTGGTTACTCCTTCACCTACACTTTCCACTATCCCGGCAGCTTCATGACCTAAAATCACTGGATAATTCGCTTCAGTTATTGCTCCACTTAGAAAATGATCATCTGAACGGCAGATCCCGGTAGCAATAATCTGCATAAATTCAATTACAAAGTAAGTACAAGAAAGATTGAAATGAATTCCCTGCCACCATAACCACTACAGTCTATTGTAGTGTTGGTGATGCCAGGAGTGCTCTGATGCCCACATAATGAAAGAGGTCAAACTGATTCGAATTGTGGAGCTTAACCAGATTCTCCTTGGGAGGACACAGGTCACTTCTGGTACCATATCCACTACAGTAGGCTGTAGTGGTTATGGTGCTTGGAGTTTTGATTTAAGAAGTTATGAAAAATCATTCTTAATCACAAAAAAGTTGGAGTCTATTTATGCTCCTACAACATTGCTTTTCTGTTGTCTTTTCCTTTAATTCGGTTTTAACCCCCTTTGCAGGCACACTTTAAAAAAAAGTTGTCTACTTGTAAAAATGTTTTAATGGCTCTCAGTTGTATCTAGTACTATCTGATGGTGTTGCATGTATTCTTTATTTAATTTAGATTTAACCACTCAAAAACAGTCACCTTAGGCAGTAAGGTACAGCTCTAATGCTGCTCACCTGGAACGGGACAGTTCAGTGCAACACCTTCAAACATCAATTCATAGAAACAGAGGTGTAACTACAAACCACAGGGTCCCGGTGCAAAAATTGCCCTGGGCTCTCCCCTCCATGTGTCTCATTCCCTCCCCCCCAGCCCTTACCTGTGTCTTATCCCCCAGGACCCTCCATGTGTCTCCTTCCCTCCCCCCCTCCTCAGCCTTTCCACGTATCCCATACCCACCTCCCTCCCCAGCCCATCCATATTATTATTATTATTATTAGTAGTAGTATTATTATGTTATTATTTATATAGTGCCAATAAATTACGCAGCACTTTACAGTGGGTGGACGAACAAACATGTAGTTGTAACCAGACAAGTTGGACACACAGGAACAGAGGGGTTGAGGGCCCTGCTCAATGATCTTACAATGAGGGAGTGAGGTAAAGTGACACAAAAGGTAAGGATAGTATTAGACTAATGACAGTTGCAAGAGAGGAATCAGTCAGGAGCTAGTGACAGTTTAATTGATACGCTTTTATGAAGAAGTGGGTTTTTAAAGGGACACTATAGTCACCTGAACAACTTTAGCTTAATGAAGCAGTTTTGGTGTATAGAACATGCCCCTGCAGCCTCACTCACAATCCTCTGCCATTTAGGAGTTAAATCCCTTTGTTTATGAATCCTAGTCACACCTCCCTGCATGTGACTTGCTAAGCCTTCCATAAACACTTCCTGTAAAGAGAGCTCTATTTAGGCTATAATTACAAGTTCTGTTTAAGATTTTCTTATCACCTGCTATGTTAATAGCTTGCTAGACCCTGCAAGAGCCACCTGTATGTGATTAAAGTTCAATTTAGAGATTGAGATACAATCATTTAAGGTAAATTACATCTGTTTGAAAGTGAAACCATTTTTTTTTTCATGCAGGCTCTGTCAATCATAGCCAGGGGAGGTGTGGCTAGGGCTGCATAAACAGAAACAAAGTGATTTAACTTCTAAATGACAGTAAATTGAGCAGTGAAATTGCAGGGGAATGAGCTATACACTAAAACTGCTTTATTTAGCTAAAGTAATTTAGGTGACTATAGTGTTCCTTTAATGATTTTTTTTTTTTTTAACGAGTGGAGACTGGGTGAGCATCTAACGGAGGAGGGAAGTGAGTTCCACAGGAACGGTGCAGCCCTCAAGAAGTCTTAAAGGCGAGCATTAGAGGTGGGAGTACAGACAGAATATAGCAGAGCGTAAGGGCCTAGATGGGACATATGCCACATAACCTTCCCCCCTGTCCCTCCATATGTCCCATACCCCTTCCCCCTGTCCCTCCATATTTCCCATACCCTTCCACCAGCCCCTCCATGTGTCTCATACCCTCCCCCCCAGCCCATCCATTTGTCCCATCCCCTCCAAGCCCCTCCATGTGTCCCATTTCTCTCTCGCTCCCCCTCCCCTCCATGTATCCCAATCCTCCCTGTCTACCCCCTCCCATCCATGTATCACATTCTTCCCTCTCTCCCCCTCCCCTCCAGGTGTCCCTTTACTCCCTCTTGCCCCTCCATGTGTCCCTTTCCTCCCTCTCTACCCTCCATGTATCCAATTCCTGTACCTGATCACCACCGCAGTTCCCGGTCTGACAGGAAGTACTCTTTCAGTGAGCAATTCCTGTCCACCCGCTTGGCCATGCTACAAACAGGCAGTGACCGTTTTGTTTTTTTAACCTACACCACCTAACTCAGTGTCTGGCCTTCCAATAATTACTGCCTTTAACTTTGTCTCCATTACTATTACAACAATGAACGCAATTATAACAATACTGCAGTCTTCACCTTAACACGAACTTCATGTGCTTTTGGTGGAGCAACTTCAATCTCCTCGATGGTAAGTGGCTGGTGAGGCCCCCAGGCCACTGCTGCTCTGCATTTAATAACCTATAAAGTACAAAATAAAATATATTAGAACAAGCATACAGTATTTCTCATCACATGTCCAGACCCTGGCAATCCCTACAGAATATTGTGCCCTTTGTATATTGAATATTGTGCCCTTTGTGTAATGAGTAACTACGTAGACCAGAGCCTCCAACTGTAAGAGTCCAAAATGTTTTGCTACTTATTAAAGGAACAACCCCCAATAACAACTTAAGTTCATTTAAGTTCTAATGGGGGCAAGAGTACCTGGGTGTTTTCTTACCTTCATGGGTAAATTAGTTATCACAGTCATGATGGAACAAAAAAGGGCTTCAAGCAGTTGCCATGAAGTTAGAAGCACCCAATTGTCTATAATGTCTCTGCATCCTGCAGCATTAAGATAACCCTTCACTAGAAACAAGGGTCATAGCCTAGATCCCGAAAAACAGCTCCAGACCATTAACCCTCCTCTACCTAACTTTATAGTAGGTTTTATGCATTCCAATAGTTAGGGTTCTCCTGGCATTAACCAAACCTAGATTATTCTATCAGACGGAAAGATTCATCACTCCATAGAAAGTGTTTCCAAAGCTGCATAGTCCACTGCTTTACATTACTTTGGCCATGTATGTATAAGGAGTCCCCATGGTATCTTACCAGTCCGCAGATAACGTGGTGTTCCAATCTGGCAGACCGCCATTTTGAAATGTGAATGTTAATTTGAAACTTGTGCAAAGCTGATTAGCCATAGAAACCCCATTTATGATGTGCGTGGCACACAGTTCTAGTGCTGATGTTGCTTGCAGAGACAGGCTTGAGTGATGCAACACATGTCTTTTACTTGTTACTCATCTCATATTTGCCAAACTGGTGCCTATATTTCATGTCTATGGAATTTATATTGCCTGACATGTATAAATCACCACTGTGTGGGTATCTATGAAGAACAGTTGTTTTACTCTGCCTACTAGAATACACACAGTTAATGTGGATCTGGATTTCATGCATTTCTACATTTTTCCTGCCAACATTTCAAATAAACCGTGAGGGGCACTTTAATTTTAGGGGTGTGGTCAGGAACGGACTGTTCTAAAAAATATTTTTAGGTGACTTACTAATAGCAATTTCTGCAACTACAATATAATTTAAAACAAGTACAATGTATCTTATTTACACCGACTGATTCCTAAACACATTTGTTGTAGTTATAAAACACATTAATGTGAGTATTATTGCTGTAGAACACTATTATACACCCGGACACACCAACAATATGGAGCTCCTAGAGGGACATTAGGATAGAAAAGAGGGACAGAGGATTAGGACCCAAAATAGGGACTGTCCCTCCTGAATAGGGACACTTGGGAGGTATGTTTCTAGGAGCTAAGACTCCGTTATACTATTATTAAACTTACAGCAGGAGATCTGTCAAAGTGTCATGTTCTGAAATGAAGTGAAACATTTTAAAAGTGGGGCTGTTAGTATGGAAACTATTGCAACAAACAAAAACCATTCCATTATTGAAAACTCCACCATCATAGCTTTACACCACTTTCCAGAATAGGATATTTTAATAAATCTCCTTCATGATTCATCCAAACATGCAACAAACATGTGCATGTAAGAATTTCTGTAATGTGAATCATTTGTGTTACTTTCTCTACAGTTTCAAATAGTGTGCACACACATTTGTAAACACACAGTGGAAAAAAACAAAAAACTTTTCATTAAAATTGGCAGAACCCAGTTGCAAAGTGAATACTTTTAATAAATATATAGTTTGCTTAGGCTCTTGGCAGGCTCCTCAACTGCAATTAATCATTTCTGGGCATAGCAGCACAAACTGAAAAATCATTGCTTGAAAAATGCAGTGGATCGTGAACAAATTCTGCTTCCAAAAAGCCACGGGAAACCTAACCTGCATATTCTATTATTTCCTAATTTGTAATTTTAGCGGAACACATTTTGGACGTATACTCTGTGGCTACATATAAATAGTGATGTCCCGAAAGGTTCGCCGAACGGTTCTCGAACGGTTCGACACGGACTCATCATTGAGTAAACTTTGACCCTGTACCTCACAGTCAGCAGACACATACCAGCCAATCGGCAGCAGACCCTCCCTCCCAGACCCTCCCACCTCCTGGACAGCATCCATTTTGAAGCTGCTTTCTTAGTGAGCTGTCCAGGAGGTGGGAGGGTCTGGGAGGGAGGGTCTGCTGCTGATTGGCTGGAATGTGTCTGCTGACTGTGAGGTACAGGGTCAAATTTTATTTAATGATGAGTCCATGGCGAACCATTCGGCGAACCATTCGGGACATCACTACATATAAACTGTTCAAGTAACATGATAGCATTATGCCATTATAAACATGTTTTAGTGGATTTGCTTGACTTGACAATGCTACCTTCCCAAGTTTCTTTTTAGCTAATTTTTCCACCCCAACATTTCACATGGAAAAAGGGGACACTTTAATTTTAGGAGTATGAGTAGGGGTGATCAGTGGGGGTTGGCTGAAAAATTGTAGTTGGCTTACCAATATAAAAAAAATTTAATTTTTTTTTATTATTGCTATTTATAAAGCGCCAACAGATTCCGCAACGCTGTACCATTAGTGGAGAAACGTACAATCTACACAGACAAATACAAGAGGCAGAGAGAGCCCTGCCCGTAAGCTGATATCTAGCCATTGGAGCTCTTTTATACAAAGTGCTTGGCAAGATGGCCCATGAGCTTACACTCTAAATTTATGATAGTAAAAAGTAATTTAGAATGTAGTGGAACAATGTATCTTATTTACACAACTGAATTTCTAAACACATTTATTGGCGTTTAAAAACACATTACTCTGAATATTATTGCTGTGGAGCTCAGGTATATACAATATGGAGCACCAAGAAAATAAGTGATTAGGATAGAAAAGAGGAACTGAGTGATTAACACTGGACATAGGGACTGTTCCTCCTGAATAGACACATTTGGGAGGTATGTTTCTCTGTCAGACTCTGTCCGTATACTATTATAAGACTTCCAGCTGGATATTTTTTTTAATGTGTCATGTTTTGAAACATTTTAAAAGTGGGGCTGTTACTATGGAAACCATTGGAACCAACAAAAACATTAAAATGTTGACAACTCCACCTTTATAGCTTTACACCACTTTTTAGAATAGCTTAATTTGCTAAATCTCTCCCATAATGTATCAAAGCATGCAGAAAACATGTGCGTGTAGGAATTTCTGTTAACTGAATCAGATTTTTGAGGAATTTCCTCTACAGTTTCAAATAGCATGCACGCACATTTGTAACACACTGTGGGAAAAATAAACTTATCATAAAAATACATATTTACACAACTGGATTTCTAAACACATTTATTGTCATCTAAAAACACATTACTCTGAATATTATTGTTGTGAATCTATGGTATACACTCAGACACACCAACTCTATGGAGCTTCTAGAAAATAGGGATATTGTGATAGAAAAGAGGAACAGAGGGATTTGTGCCCAAGATAGAGAGTATTCCTCCTAAATAGGGACACTTGAAGGTATGCTAATTTGAAGTTTCGTGTCAAACCATGCTATTCTTAGTCCCCGATTAACCTTGCACTTTCTTTAACTTCTCCACCCTGAGTTTAAGCAGTGGGTATAATTGTGGGTATGATGGCAAAAAAGCATAGCCTGAGTGCACGTGAATACCAACAGTCTTGCTACCTTTATATTACTCTGGTTTCAGTTGGACCACCAATAAGTTATGATATAACATAAAAAATATTAAGTAACATATGCTCTTTTGAAAGAGGAAATCTTATTCTTCTGTTAGCGTCAAATTAAAAATGAGCAAAGTCATAAAACCAGATACAGGTTTGAGGACTGGTCTTTTCACTTTGCGACTATTTCTCTTCACCTCAACCCAGTAAAAAGCTGTTAAAACATTTACTGATGTGAGGAGTACAGCAGATGTATGTATAAAACATTATTACTGGCATTACTTCCTGGTGATTTGTGTCACCATAATTCTGAAACACCATTGAGCAAACACACGTGGCTGTTTACTGAACAGTTTTAATTTTCATTACGTTTTAGGAGAAAATTCATTTTCAGACATGTATTTACATTTTGAACATCCAGATATGTTCATAAACATGTTATAAAGGAACGAAATTTACACAGGCAAATTATCACTATATTTAATTTTTCTAGATCTATAGAAAAATGCATGTTTATTTGTCAAACTAAACTTTATTATTTTCTACCTGACACATTTTACTTATATATAAAGTTAAAATTGTGCTAATCAGGTGTCTATCAACATCCAGTAGATTTTTACATTCTTTCTCTTTAACCACACAATGAGCAATAACAGCTTTTGTTTCTGCACAAGTTTGTATATATAGGGAGGATACCTCTGTCCAACATTATGTTACTGACAAGAATAGGTGCAACACCTATATATGTATGCCTACACACATTTAAAAAAAAAATTGTAAGTTGTCCGGGGGGTAGGGGAGGAGATAGATATTTTTTCAATAGAGTAGCGATGAAACTAGATACCTATTAACCAATGTTCTTGCAAGATCAAACTGGAGAAATGAACCTTAATGCAGCTCTGCATAATGCATTTAAAAATAATAAAAGAAAGTTGTCTTACTGCTTTTTAAAGGGAACAGCAGCAATGAATGTGACTGCAAAATTAGTTTTTAGGGCTCACCAATGCTATCTAAATGTTGCCCATGTTATATCCTGCAGACATGTATAGTATGTGCACAATCACATTAACACTTCGTGAGGCCTGGTGCATTTAGCTCTTATTTAGCCCTGAAATGACCCTTAATGTAAAAATAAGTGTGTTTCCTTTATAATACATCTTGCACATTTCTATGCATCAGTAAATACAATTTTTTTAAATTTTTTTTTTATAAATCACTTGCTTACTTTTCCAGCAGAAGCCATGGCCTTTCATGTACGTTTCAACAGTGGAATAGCCTCTTTAATCACAGTTACACATTTATAAACAGCAAAAAAACAACCCACCCATCGTCCCTCCCCTATCAGTTTATGGAAATGCTTACAGCCCACACCCAACAGCAGACAAACAAATGTTTCTAAATCCTCTAGAAAATAAAAATTATACCATTCATTTAAAATGGTAATCTAGGACATTCAGAGATCAGAGTTTACAGCTTTAACAGCTGATTGTTATTATGTCCTGACATGTAAAACCGTAGAATTAATAGAGGGTGTACTTTCTAATTACCACGACTGTATGTGCACAATTAATTCATGACTTGCACAGTAAGGCACATAGTGCCAGATGCCTTTGACACCATCCCTCAATCCTATTTAGACCATTTTTGAGCCTTTTCACATAAACTGAGGATCTCCTAGTCACTCTAGCCTAAGCATATTGCTATATAAGAAGTTATGGGGTTAAGATGATAAGGTTTAGGGTTAAGAGAATAAAGGTTAGAAAAAGATGAACAATAACTACAGAGATGATAGTACTCAGTAGAAAAGAAGCTATAGAGGGATCTGGAGTTTTCCCCTAGATATACTACAATCATCCGTAAGCAGTGTAATACAATAGTCCCTCTAATACAGTTTTCACAAAAATAGAGAATAATTATGTCACTCCTTTCTTAAATAATAGATGATGAAAGAATATTTTTGCTATGTGTTTGGGAGGCATATATTGCCCATTCTTATTTAATAATAACGTGAACCGCCCCAACGAGAGAAGTGAGGTCAGCGGAAGGGGCTGTGACGTACCCTGAAGTGAGCCAGAAGATGGCAGAGGACTGGCATGGTGCACGGGTGCCGCGTCACAGGGGGGCAGTCCCAGGGTCAGGAAGCCAGAATGCCGGCAGTCCAGAGACCCTGTCGGCTGCAGCACAGCTGGGAGCTAGAAGGCTCCAGGTGGCATTGAAAGAAGAATCAAAGGAGGAGAGAGCTGGGCTTGAGGAGCTGGGACCAGTGAACCAGTGCTTAGGTGAGATGGCTTGCGCTAGAGCTTGGGGTACTGCCAGGGCCAGATTAACAGCCCGGTGGGCCTGGTACTGACAATTATGACGCGCCTAATTACATAATCTTATCGACCAAAAACACTAAAACACTCCCAAGAGTCATGTATCTGATAGAGATGATGCTGGAGAGAAAGAAAACAGCAACTATAGGAAAACATATACCCTATACTAATCTCCCTCTAATTTATGTTTTCATCTTTCAAGTAAATCCATAACCCCTAACAGCAGTGTCCAGTCAGGCAGGAAGTCAATGGGCACGGTAAAAGGGTGTGCCACTGACAAATCACGTAACCTGCCAAAAGGGGTGAACATGCCCAAAAAGAGGACATGTCTGCCCAAAGAATTAGAAAGCCAGCCTGCTATGACTGCATGTCAGGCTGCCTGCCAATCATGCAGATGGCCAACTAAGGGCATACTATGTAGACAGCACCCTGAGCTTGGCATAAATGCGTCTAATGATGCGCTCGCTCAATGCTTTCTAAGGACTGTCTCCTAGCACTCGCTGGTCCACTTGTCTCCTTACCTTCTTACTAGGAGGCAGAAGCTCCTGGTATATAGTTTGGGACATAGAAAAGCTGTATGTAGTGAGTGTAGAAGAAAGGGAACATGCCACAGTGTTAGAGAGACCAAAGTCAGCATTACCTTAACTATATTCATTGTCAGCCAGTCTTTCTTGGAAAAACATACCGGCCTTATTAATTTGAATAATGAATTATGTATGGGTGACATCACATGATGTAAATCACAAGGAGTGACATGAGAATAAATGCTGTAAAATCACCAAAAAACTACTTACAGTTTGATTCTGCTGTATAGATGGATTTCTCCCAATGTCCCCATGTCTTCCAGTACCCCCATGTCTCCCAGTGCCCTCATGACTCCCAGTGCCCCCATGTGTCGATTACTCCAGGTCTCAGCAGTGGCGTCGCTGGGGGGGGGGGGCCAGAGGGGGCCATGCCCCCCCTACATCATATTGGGCCCCCCCAAATACCAACAACTTGCCAGCAACAGTGTGTTACAGCCCAGGAGAGTTAATGCAGGGCAGAGGAGCTCAGCTGGAACGGTGCTGGAGGCTGTCTGTGGCTGGAGGGAGCACTGACAAGCTCCCCTGCAAAGGTCCCGCCCCCCTTATGAAGCCCACCCCTGCCGTTAAGCAGCAGACCATGCTGCTGCTGGAAAGGCCAGAAGATGGTTGTCTGATCCCCAGCAACAGGTAGGCTTGATATGCTCAGGTGTGTGTGTGTGTGTCTGTGTCTGTCTGTCTGCTAGTGAGGAAGCTTGTGTGTGTGTGTGTCTGTGTGTATGAACTCAGCAGTGTGTGTGTATGGACTCAGCAGTCTGTATGTGTGTATGGACTCAGCAGTCTGTATGTGTGTATGAACTCAGCAGTGTATGTGTATGGACTCAGCAGTCTGTGTGTATGGACTCAGCACTGTGTGTGTATAGACTCAGCAGTCTGTATGTGTGTATGAACTCAGCAGTAAAGAATAAAGATAGAGGAGTGCAAATACAAATGTATATGGTATACTTAGAGACACTGGTCAGTCCTTTAAATGTAACCTATATACAAAAAGATCCAAACATAGCATAATACTGCTTGACCAAACAATATAGTAAATAAATGTGGATTTTCACTCACACTTTGCAGAGCCATATATAGTAGGCTCTGACTGTAATTGCTCTCTTATAATTCCCTGGTATGCTTAACTCCACCACGTCTCCAGAACTCTCCACTTGTGCCAGGATACAGGAGATGTAATAATTCCAATAAAGAGTTGGGATATTTTCAAAATTTAATAGCACAAACAAATAAACAGGGACATTTATAAAGTGCATAAAAAATAAGAAGAATAGCAGCACTAACGCGTTTCGACTAAAGTAAAGTCTTTTTCAAAGTGCATAAAACAATAGTCACCATGTTGAGTATTTATATCTTCACTTATGTTCAAATTTGGCGCCAAACACCTCTGTTGTGATGTCCTCCTCCTACTTACTACTTAATGTTTAGATCTTTTTGTATATAGGTTACATTTAAAGGACTGACCAGTGTCTCTAAGTATACCATATACATTTGTATTTGCACTCCTCTATCTTTATTCTTTACTTGCATTTTACTTGTGTTTTTTAAGTGGTTTTAAAACACTGTGGAGTTGCACTGATATTTCCGCTACCACCCCCACACCTTGTGTGTTTTTGCACTTTATTGTGTAAGTTTGTTTTGTAATGAACTCAGCAGTGCATGTGTATGGATTCAGCAGTCTGGATGTGTGTATGAACTCAGCAGTGTGTGTGTATGGATTCAGCAGTGTGTGTGTGTGTAGACTCAGCAGTGTGTGTGTGTATGGACTCAGCAGTCTGTATGTGTGTATGAACTCAGCAGTGTGTGTGTATTGACTCAGCAGTCTGTATGAACTCAGCAGTGTGTGTATGGACTCAGCAGTCTGTATGTGCGTATGAACTCAGCAGTGTGTGTGTATGGACTCAGCAGTGTGTGTATATGAACTCAGCAGTCTGAATGTGTGTATGGACTCAGCAGTGTGTGTGTATGGACTCAGCAGTGTGTGTGTATTGACTCAGCAGTCTGTATGTGTGTATGGACTCAGCAGCCGGTATGTGTGTATGGACTCAGCAGTGTGTGTGCATGAACTCAGCAGTGTGTGTGTATTGACTCAGCAGTGTGTGTGTATTGACTCAGCAGTCTGTATGTGTGTATGGACTCAGCAGTCTGTATGTGTGTATGAACTCAGCAGTGTGTGTGTATGAACTCAGCAGTGTGTGTGTATGGACTCAGCAGTCTATATGTGTGTATGGACTCAGCAGTCTGTATGTGTGTATGTATGGACTCCGCAGTCTGTATTTGTGTATGGACTCAGCAGTCTGTTTGTGTGTATGGACTCAGCAGTCTGTGTGTATGGACTCAGCAGCCGGTATGTGTGTATGGACTCAGCAGTGTGTGTATGAACTCAGCAGTGTGTGTATGGACTCAGCAGCCGGTATGTGTGTATGGACTCAGCAGTGTGTGTATGAACTCAGCAGTGTGTGTATTGACTCAGCAGTGTGTGTGTATGGACTCTGCAGTCTATATGTGGGTATGAACTCAGCAGTGTGTGTATGGACTCAGCAGTGTGTGTATATGAACTCAGCAGTGTGTGTGTTTTGACTCAGCAGTCTGTATGTGTGTATGGACTCAGCAGTCTGTATGTGTGTATGGACTCAGCAGTGTGTGTATGAACTCAGCAGTCTATATGCGGGTATGAACTCAGCAGTGTGTGTGTATGGACTCAGCACTGTGTGTATGGACTCAGCAGTCTGTATGTATGTATGAACTCAGCAGTCTGTGTGTATGGACTCAGCAGTCTGTGTGTATGCACTCAGCAGTCTGTGTGTATGCACTCAGCAGTCTGCATGTGTGTATGAACTTAGCAGTGTGTGTGTATGGACTCAGCTGTATTTGTGTATGAACTCAGCAGTGTGTCTGTGTGTATGGACTCAGCAGTCTGCATGTGTGTATGAACTCAGCAGTGTGTGTGTATGGACTAAGCAGTCTGTATGTGTGTATGGACTCAGCACTGTCTGTGTATGGACTCAGCTGTATGTGTGTATGAACTCAGCAGTGTGTCTGTGTGTATGGACTCAGCACTGTGTGTGTATGTACTCAGCAGTGTGTGTGTGGACTCAGCAGTGTGTGTATGGACTCAGCAGTGTGTGTGTATGAACTCAGCAGTCTGTGTGTATGGACTCAGCAGTCTGTGTGTATGGACTCAGCAGTCTGTGTTTGTGTGTGTGTATGAGTGTATGGACTCAGCAGTGTGTGTGTATGGACTCAGCAGTCTGTGTGTGTGTATGGACTCAGCAGTGTGTGTGTATGGACTCAGCAGTCTGTGTGTGTGTGTGTATGAACTCAGCAGTCTGTGTGTATGTGTATGGACTCAGCAGTCTTTGTTTGTGTGTGTGTATGTAAGGACTCAGCAGTCTGTGTTGTG